GACCCAGGGTCCCCAGGCTCTCCGCGTTTCCCTGAGGACCTGTGAGCTCCCTCCTGGGGGGGGGGGGTCTTTGGCACTTTCCCATTGGCTGTTCACTCAGACTGTTCCTTTTTTTATAATCCTCACCTGAGGATATGTTCATTGATTTTAGACAGGAAGGGAGAGAGAGAGAGAGAGAGAGAGAGAGAGAGAGAGAGAGAGAGGTCTAGTGTTCTGCCCATTCTTGCACTCATCGGTTTCTTCTCATCCTGGCCCTGACCGGGGACTGAACCCCCAGCCTTGGCATATGTGACGACGCTCTCACTGACTGAGCTACCTGGCCAGGGCTGAACTGTTCACTTTAAAATGGTGAATTTAATATTGTGTGAATTTCATCTCCATTTAAACAGTTTTGTGATGATCTTTACAGAACTCCGTCATTCATTCATTCACTGAATCTATTCACTCATCCAACTGACACGTGTGTGCTTCCCGTGGTGTGGAGCAGGTGCCAGAAGCAGGCACTGAAGGGGCAGCAAACCCTTCACACACCCCCCCACCGTGACTACCCCCCACCCCCTTTGCCAGGAGCCCATCATGCAGAACCATGGTCCTCACAGGTCCAGACTTAAAATGCAAGGCCTGGGATTCTGATTGGGTCGACTGAGATCAGGCCCCGGTGTGAACAGATTTAAACACCAGCCTGATCGGTGTCAGTGGTTGAGACCACCTCTAACCAAGTCCATAAAGAGCCTCACTCTGGGCTTGGAAATACCTTCAGGAAAGCATGCCCGGCCCACGTCCACACGTGGAAGGGAAGCCGGCTAAGTCCCCGCAGGTCACCAGTGGGAGGGCGGAGCAGGACTAGCCTGTGTGAACTCGTCATGCCTGCCTCTCCCCACTTGGTGGCAGCAAACTGGGCCGGACCTCCAGGCAGTGGGCAGGAGATTTAGATCTACTTGCCTCCCCTGGCCTGGGACGGCTGTGAGGACAGCTGGAGGGAGGAGAGGAAACAGCAAATGCAAAGGCTTGAGCTGGGAGTTCCAGGTTTGGCTGCAGGGTTCACTTTGTAAATGGTATTGTGGTTTTAGGTTCAAATTTTAATCACTCGTTGCTGGGATGCAGGGAAGCAATCAACATTTGCATGTTAACCTGTCTCTTGCACCCTTGCTTTAATTGCTTATTAGCTCCAGGAGGTTTTTTTGTTGAGAGGGAGAGAGAGAAAAACATCAATGATGAAAGAGAATCATGGATCGGCTGCCACCTGCACGCCCCCCACTGGGGATTGAGCCCACAACCTGGGCGTGAGCCCTGACCGGGAATCGAACCATGACCTCCTGGTTCATAGGTCAACACTCAACCACTGAGCCACGCCGGCCAGGCTTTGTTGATTCTTTGGGATTTTCCACAATCATGTCATCTGCAGACGAAGACAGTTTCATTTCTTCCTTCTGAAACTGCTTGGTCTTCTTTTTCCTGTTTTGCTGCATCCGCTAGAGCTTCCAGTGTGATGTTCGGTGGAAGCGTGAAGGGGCCATGCCCGTCCCTTTCTGATCCTGGTTTGCTTGGGTGACACTGGTTTCCCCCAGCTCTCCACCCTGACAGCCGGGCATCCGAGCGTGTGCATGTGGAGATCGGGTCTGCTCCTGGCCCCCTACTCCCCGAATGGGAACACGGCCCAGGACCTGCGAGTCAGAGCGCCTCCCACCACACCTGTCTTCTTGGCCCTGACTGGGCCTCTGGGCCGCCTGCTGAGTGTCCCCCTCTTGAACCCTGGATTCCTAGTGGTGGTCCCCAGGTGCCCACAGGACCACAGCCCTGCTCCTTCCGTCTCACCCTGTTCCCCGGGATCTCCGGATGCTCCTGGATGACCATTCCCATCGTCCACCGTGGCTAGGTCTGCCAGGGACCTTCCCAGATGCCTCCCCAAAGACCTGGTCCCCAGTGGCTGTCCCCATGTACCCACGGGACTAGAGCCATTCGTCCTGCTTGGGCGTCCTATCGTGGGTATTGGTGAGACAAGGTGAACCCGTCTGCTCAGGCCCGTGTGACAATCAGGGCCCCATGCCCTGGCATGGCTGTGAGCACCTGCGTGGAGGTGCGGTCTCCTCACCTCCCCTCTCCTTGCCTGCGGAACGCGGCTGTAGGCAGAGCATTACCAGTTCCTCACCACGCGGCCTCCACAGGCTCTTCGTGCCCCAGCCCTTTGGCCCTGTTCTGCTTACGTGAGTGGGAATGGACCCCAGTACGGCAGTTTGCAGGTGACCTCTGGGTGAGGTACCGAGGCACCCGGACGACAGAGTCAGTGACGACTGAAGTGACACGCGAGAGAGGCCCAGGCCTGCGGGAGCGCTCGGGTTCTCGGGAAAGACAGGCAGGTGAGCCCCGCGCATGAGAGCCAGGGCAGAGAGGTGCGTGGAGGCCGCTGTGCACCCAAGTGACCGAATCTCCCACGCCAGCCCCTGCATCCACAGCCGGGGCTGCAAGCACCAATCTGCGCCAGAAAGAATTTGGCAGCGGCAAACCTTCAGGTGGCTGCCTGGGCGACAGCAGCAGGTCAGAGGTCATGTGCCCAACACCACCAGCTGCGCCCTCTGCTCACACTCAGAAGTGCTCCCAGGCCCCTCCTGCCTCGTGGGAGCAGCACAAGCGGCTGCAGGAACTAGAAAGTGAAGAGGAGGCCACACGGGGACCCGGGAGGGTGGGTGTGGCCCACGTGAGGGGCTGCTTCCTCTGCAGCTCAAACTGCGGTCACTGCAGGACCGAATTTGACTCAAAACACACGAGTCGTCAGTGTGGGGTGCGTGCGGGGCAGGAGTAAGCTCCCTCCCTGTGGGCACCAAACCTGTTCCACTCAACTCCACAGCAGCGTGACTTGGGAGCCCCTGCCTTCCTCGCGGGCTGTCCAGGTGGACCCTGAAGTGTCAGGACTGGCACAGCCCCCTCTCCCCCAACACTGCCTCACACCCCAAAGCTGAATCCAGCCGGGCCTGGGAGCTGCTGGCCTGCAGAGGAAGCTGCCCCTCACGGGGCTGATGGGACCTGCGAAAGTGGGAGGCGCCGTGCCCACCACACTCTCCTGCTGCCTGGGACCCAGAGGCCCGCGGGCAGGCCTGGCGCTTGATGGCTACATGAGGTCTGGTTTCATTTCAGCTGCTGGCAGCAGCCGGACGGACGTGGACGCAGGAGCCCTTCCCAGAGAGCCCAGGCGGTCGCAAAAGCAGCCCCCCCCACCTCTGCCTCCCGCCCTTCTCATTCACCCCTCCCCTCGGGCAGAACTCTAACATCTCACAGGGCACTGGGCATGGCCCGTGGAGCTTCTGTCAGCAACACAGACAAGATGGCCCCTGTCTCACAGGAAGAGTCTGTGTGAACGACACTGAAATGAGCCCAGGCCCTGGGGAAAGCTTGTGGGCAGACCCTCCTCCAACCTCAGACTCACGCAGGCCCTCGAGGCCCAAGAGGGACCCCAGGGCCGGAGCACAGGGCTGGCTGAGCTGCAGGAGTCCTGCTCGGAGGAGGTGGGAAATCGTTCCCTGGATCTCACACTTGTATTTGTGGGGAAGCAGCAGCGCTATGTCCCAGCCAATAGACCTGAGTGATGGACAACCAGCAGCCAGCCAGCCACAGCCGCTTCACACAGACCCTGGCTGCCTCCAGCACCAGCTGCCAGTATGGGGCTTGAATATTTAACGCGGTGACTGGTGGGGGGACGGTGGGGGGGGGGGGGCAGAGGGGCCTGGCCCGGACATGGAGTCCCTGGGAAATCAGGATGATTATTACTTATTCAAAACCCACTCCGGAACCAGCACGACACTGAAAACACAGGCTGACTGTGCGTCGGTCTGATTTTCAGCTGAGCCGGTCCCCGTGGTCCTAGACTGGGAATCCTGCCGCAGTGCAGGCGGGGCTCTGATCAGAGCAGCGCTGGAAAATCAGGAACAACACCTTTGACGCAGGAACACCCTGATGGCACAGGGTGCGTATAACCATTGCTCCTTGATAAGCCAGAGCAAGATTAACTATCCACCTTGGACAGACATAGCAGGTGCCACACGTGTCCCAAGTTCATTCAAAGCATTTTCCTATTTCTCCTGTGAAAGAAAATGGGGCCGCATACTAGCCCTGACAAGGCCTTACAGCTGCGGGACCAAACATAACCACAGGAGGGTCTGGTCAGATTCCTGCCGGGGTGATCCTGGCGGGTACTCTCCGTGCGGCCCTGGCCTGCGGCGGCCCAGGCCTACAGCTTTCTCAGCACAGCGAAGCCTTGACCATGAGCGAGCCCTGTCCACTGTTCGTATACATCTAGGCGCAGTGGTCAGCAAACTCTTTAGTCAACAGAGCCAAATATCAACAGTACAACAATTGAAATTTCTTTTGAGAGTCAAATTTTTTAAACTTAAACTATATAGGTAGGTACATTGTTGTTAACTTAATTAGGGTACTCCTAAGGCTTAGGAAGAGCCACACTCAAGGGGCCAAAGAGCCGCATGTGGCTCCCGAGCCGCAGTTTGCCAACCAAGGATCTAGGGTAACACACCTTCGAAACGTCAGAGCATTTTCTCCTCCTGACCCTCGAATGCACGGCCACCGGCATCAGGGCTGCGACCACAGACCCCTCATCATTGCCCTGGCCCGCCTACCGTCTCCGTGTGCAGCAATGGTTAACTGTTAGCCTTCCCGTACCCATCAATGCAAAAGAAGCATGTGTTTCTCCATTTTGCTTTTTATCCAATCCCAGAGGTTTTGCCTCTCTTCTTTCTCCTGCCCCTTCATTGATCACACATGGCTTTCATGTACCTTCCTTAGGTTTTTCTCCTTTGATTCAAAATACATAAAAGAAACAACAAAACTACCATTTTCTGGACCATTTCTCAGTCCATAAAGATCTTGCTTCCAGGCATGCCCTCAACATTTTGGCTTAAGGAAACTCTTACAAACTTTTCAGGTTTGGATGGTCTTTCATGGACACTTAGTGCAGCATAAAGATTTAAATTGAAAACAAAGTACCATCCTACCTCACCGCCTCGTGCCTCCTTCTCCTGCGGACTCTGACGTGTGGCAGAACCCTCGTCTCCTGGATGGTGATCCCCTGCAAATCAAGACGTTTTAGCTGTAGTTGCAAGAGTTGTTAAGTGTTTTAATTCCAGGGGAAGGTGCACAGCCCACAGCATGCCGCCCATCTCCCCCGGGAAGTGGAGGAAGGTGCCGCCTCAGTTCCCCCACAGCCACGGCACACTTTCCCAGGGCGGGCAGGCGGGCGGGCAGCAGGGAAACTGCAAACCTCGCCTGGCACAGCAGGGCCGCTCACTGTAGACTCGTGGCACTGGAAGCATTCAGGCCCACAGAGAGCTGTGCAGGCCGCCTGCCGAGGCTCTTGTGTGCCCTGCCCGCCCCCACCGCCCACCCCCCAGCCCGGCCTCCCTGACTGCCAACGGTTCTGAAAACTAAGAAGTGAGCGTGGTAACCGGGTCTTCCACGTTCATCAGAGCCTGATCCCCCACCCCTGCTTGTCTTCCACGGCCACCACCTTGACTTGCACAGTCCACATCACAGGCTGCAAGTGGTGCGGCATCTTTTCTAGAAGCTTCCAACATTGATGGCTCACCGGGCCAGAGACTCCTCCCTGTCAGTGAATGAGGCCACGTGGAAAGACATGATACTCGAGGTTATGGGGAACCCAGGCGCTGCTGGTGGCTCAGAGGAACGGAGGTTTAGATAGTCCTACGGCGGGGGCGGGGGGGGGGGTTCCACATTCTTAATGTGCCCCATTTCGCCCTTTCTAACTTTGCATTTGCATTTCCAGTGTAAAACGTCCCAGGACAACTGCCGAGGACAGCACTGAGCAGGGCTCTCCTGCTCTTCCGCCCCGACAGAGCTTAGAGGGAAGCCCTCGTGTGGGTTGATTATCGCAGGATGGAGTGAGCGAGTCCTGCCCAGACTGATGAGCAGGCCCATGTGCTGGGTAATATTTGGCCACCTCTGCCCTTCAGCTGCCGCCGCCACCACCGTCTGGGCGCCCAGGCCAGTCCCTTGTGTCCTGCAGGCTCTGGCTGACTCCACAGTGTGTGAGGGGCAAGTCACATGCGTCCTCTCCTGTAGTTCGTCTGAGATCATCTGTCCAGCCAACACGGGGCCCATGAAGTGTTCGTGCTCCACGCCACGTGTCCAAGGGAACAGAGTGTGACTCCCGCTGGCAGTTTCTACTGAAAGGGCCCTGTCTCTCTCCGTGACCCTCAGGTTCCCAGCTCCAGACCCGAAGAGGAATCAATGGGAGGCCCGGTCTCTCGGGAGCAGAGGGGCTTCTGGGAAAACACATTCCCCGTAATGAAAAAGAGACACCCGTTAGACAAGGCCCTCTTCTAGAAAGGACTGTTGTGATGCTTGGAAATAGCAGCCGTCTTGCTGACAGGGAGGCCAGGCTGCAGCACCAGGCCCCAACGCTGGGGAGGCAGAGGGAATGGCGGGAGGAGCCTGGTCGGCGATGGTGCAGCTGAGCTGATGACCAGTCTCCTGCCTCTGGGCTTCTCCTCACGTGAGAGAACACACGGCCTTCTTGTTCAAGACATTTAAAAAGTTATTTGTAGCCAAAAGCACTCTTACCGCTAAGTGGGAGTTCTTTCCTGGACAGCTGTGTGAAGTACATACAGCAGACATTCTGCTTTCTGCCCGTCCTCAAGGTCCTGCGGAGAGCATTTCGGCAATTCCCTTTCACGCTACAAAAGCCCAGTCTGTTCATGACCGCCTCGGCCTTGCTGGTCTGGCCCTGCCTGCCTCTACCTCACCCCTCGCCAGCAGAGGCCGAGAGGAAGAGGTGAGAATGTGGACTCGGGAACCTGGGTTTGACTCTCCTCATAGGCAAGTCTCCTAACACCTCTGTGCCTCAGTGTCCTCCTCTGTAAAATATGGACCCTGAAGTGACCTGTCCGTGTCCGTGAAGAGCCCTGTGGTCCCGACAGAGAACCGTGTCCCTGACATGCACTGAGGCCTCTCACTGCAAGCAGGCTCCGCGGGCCGCCTCGCCTTCCCTGTGGAGCCAGGAGTTCCAGGTCCTTCCTCCCTGCCGACCGCGAGGCAGCTCTCAGAGGACATCCGAGGAAGCCCTTGATCTTGGTGTGGGAAGAAACTCGGGCGCCTGGAGGGCTCCTAACGTACGCCGGGTGCCACCTCTTTTTGTATGAATGCAGATGTCCAGTTAGTGACAAAACACTGAACTTAAGAATATGACTTGAGCCTTAGCCAGTTTGGCTCAGTGGATAGAACCTCGGCCCTCGGACGGAAGGATCCCAGGTTCGATTCTGGTCAAGCGCACGTACCTCAGTTGCAGGCTCGATCCCAGGCCCTGGTCGGAAGAGTGCGAGCGGGAGGCAACCAATCGACGTGTCTCTCTCACATCAATGTTTCTGTCTGTCTCTCCCCATCCCTTCCACTCTCTCTAAAAATCAGTGGAAAAATAACCTCAGGTGAGGATTAAAAATATATATATTTAAAAAATAATCTGACTTGACAGTGATTGTTCTCACCACTTGGTGTGATCTTGGCCAGATCAGGACCAAGAACAGTAGAGGCGAGCCAAGCGCACCTGGTAAAACCTCTGGGTGTCCATTTCCAGGCCTCCTGACCATCTCCACACACCAGAGGATGCTTGTGTGAATTCCGGCTCTGAACAGGCATGTGGGAGCCTGTGTGTGTGACGTGTGCGTGTGTGCCTGTGTGTCTGGGGAAGGTGCAGTGTCCAACCAATTACATTTCTTTGGTTAAAAACTCATTGATGAATCTTGTTTTTTTTAAAAAAACATTCATGAGATGCTTTTTACATTTCAAAAAGAAGATAAAAGCACTGTATAATGACACTGAGAATTTTTAACATTTCACTTTTTTAAAAAATATATTTTTATTGATTTCAGAGAGGGAGAGGGAGAGATAGAAACATTGATGAGAATTATGGATTGGCTGCCTCCTGCACACCCCACACTGGGGATTGAGCCCACAACCCAGGCATGCACCCTGACCGAACTATGACCTGGTTCATAGGTTAATACTCAACCACTGAGTCACGCCAGCCGGCTAACATCTCACTTTCAAATAATGTGATCTTCTTCCTCCCTCTGGCAGTAAGTGTAGTTACCACTGTGGCAGATGTAGTTACTAAGTGTAGTTACCACTGTGGCAGGCAAAATACTGCCCTCACCCCCACGAAAAATGTCCACGTCCTAACCCTGGACCCATGCACCTGTACGCTACAGGACAAAACGGGTTTTGCAGCTGTGAATATGTTAAGGGTCCTGAGATGAGATGACCCTGGCTGTCTGGGTGGCCAATGCCATAGTTTTAAGAGCAAGTCAGAGAAGGAAGAGAGCTGGAGTCAAAGAGATGTGGCACATCTAACCCATTTCTGAGAGTAACTAAGTTTCTTTTATCTTTAACACTGGTTATTTAACATTCTCAATTGACTTTTGGAAATGTGAGTTCATATAGCACAGTGATGGCGAACCTATGACACGCGTGTCAGAGGTGACACGCGAACTCATTTTTTTGGTTGATTTTTCTTTGTTAAATGGCATTTAAATATCTACACTAATAAAAGACAAACATGCAAATTGACTGTACTTTCGCTATGTCTTAAGCCATGCCCACCAGCCAATCAGAGCGGCTATATGCAAATTAACCCACCCAAGATGATGGTTAATTTGCATATACTGGCTGGGAGCGAAGACTGAAGACAAAGTGGAAGTGAAGCGCTACAGAAGGGAGCAAAGTAGAGGTGGCGGAGACCCACAGGAAACCCTATTCTTGCAGGAATCTTCCTGCAACAGGCCTCTAGTATAAAATAAATATCAAAAATATAAGTCTTTGTTCTACTATGGTTGAAAATATCAAAAAATTTCTATATGTGACACGGCACCAGAGTTAAGTTAGGGTTTTTCAAAATGCTGACACGCTGAGCTCAAAAGGTTCGCCATCACTGATACAGCATCAAGGTAATGGATATTTGTATTTATCAAAAGGCCCAATAAATGAAAGTTCTATAGTAGGATCATTAACAAGGTTAATAATGTGATTTCTGATCCTTGAGTAATAATAATCTTGAAGGCTTGCATTTGTTTATACTTCCTTAGTAAATGCTCGTTACAAAAAAAATCCTTGTAGAAGAAAATCGAAGGCTTTGACTGGCACTGGATTTGACCACCAGGAAGAAGGGGGGATGCTGTGGAGGCAGTTTGCCAACCGCTGCTTAAGGACCTGGGGTGCTGAGGGGTGAGCACCAAGGCAGCAGGTGGAGAAAACGGCCAGAGAGGTTGGTTTCATTAAGCAAATAAACCACAGATTGAGGAAAATCAAAGCCAGATCTTATACAGCTGGAGAAAGCACTTACACAGAAAGGGAGAGGGAGGATAACCCCTGAGGTCTTGGTTTGGAATTGAAGCCATGGATATTAATTTTATTTTATTTTTATTACTTTAAAATATGTTTTCATTGATTTCAGAGAGAGGAAGAAAGAAACATCAATGATGAGAAAGAATCATAGATTGGCTGCCTCCTGCACGCCTCCTACTGGGGATCAAGCCCTAAACCCGGGCATGTGCCCTGATTGGGAATCAAACCGTGACCTCCTGGTTCATAGGTTGATGCTCAACCACTGAGCCAAACCGGCCAAGGAAATCTTGCTTTAAAAAGAAAGAGGTGTTGGAGAAATGCTTATTCCAGGGCTGGGCCAGAAGATGTTCCATTGAGCCTGGAACATCTTGCGCCAGAAGATAAGGAAGGGTTTGAAGAATGATGGGGACATGTCAAAAGAATTCAGGATCCAGCTGGATGAGGCTCTCAGTGACCAAACTTGAACAATTTGAACATCCAAATAGATAATGATAGCAATAGAATACTACCCATGGAATAAAATACAAATCCATGAATCCATACTGCTATACACAGATGAGGAAAAATTAAAGAGAAGGAAAATCTTTTCCTTAAGAATGCCAACTAATAAATGTAGAACAGATGATAGGCATTTTAGAAACTGCACAGTATATTTGGCAAGGACCACAGTGACTCAGGCAGAAGTCATTGGTAAAGGTCAAGAAAGCCAGGCAGAGGTGGATGAAGAAAAAGATGGTGGGATCTCGGAACCTCTCCCTACAGAACACTAATCAACCTACAAACGGAGAAAGGGAGAAACCTCGCAGACACTGCCATGACTGGCCCTGGAGGTCAGTATCGCCCATGGCAGGACGGGCTGCAATCTTGTGCCCCAGATGAGCACCCGTTTCTGTCGTCTTCCTACTGAAAAGACACATCCGGCCCTGTCCTGATGACACATCGACGGACCCAGTGAGTCATCTTGTGTACGTGCCATTGAGTGCACTCGGACTCCTGGCAACCCTGTGATGAGTGACGTTGTGTCCTGTCCTCCGTAGCCCTGCTCAGCTCTTGGAGACTCAGCTGGTGGCTTCTGTCATGGAGCCCATCCACCTCCTATTGGGTCTTTCTCTTTCCCTGCCGCTTTCTATTTTTTCCAGCACTGTCTTTTCCAAAGAACCCTGACGTCTTCTATGTATGTATAGTCTGTGTTTTTTAATGTTTTTTAATTGATTTTTAGAGAGGAAGGGGGAGGGACAGATAGAGACATCATTGAGAGAGAAACATCAATGGGCTGCCTCCTACTGGGGGTCGAGCCCACAACCTAGGCACGTGCCCTGACCAGAAATGGAATAGGATACCTTTTTTTTGTTGTTGTTAATCCTCACCTGAGGGTATTTTTTTTCCCACCGATTTTTAGACAGAGTGGAAGGGAGGGGGAGAGACAGAGAGACACCCATTAATTTGTTGCCTCTCTCAGGTGCCCAGACTGGGGCCAGGGATTGAACCTCGTCTTCGGGAGCTACGTGCCCTTGACTGGAATCGAACTTGGGACCCTTCAGTCCATTGTGTGGGCTAATGCTCCCACCACTGAGCAAAACTGGCTAGGGCGAACCGGTGACCGCTTGGTTCATGGGTTGACACTCAACCAGAGTCACACTGGCGGGGCAAAAGTCTGTGATTTTTCTTTTTGGTGTATGTGTGTGTTTCTGTCATTAATCCTCATCTGAGGATATTTTCCCATTGATTTCTAGAGAAAGTGGAAGGGAGAGGGAGGCAGAGAGAGAACATCAATGTGAGAGAGACACATAGATTGGTGGCCTGCCACATGCCTCGACCAGGGCCAGGGATCGAACCTGCAACCAAGTTATGTGCCCTTGATCAGAACAGAACCTGGGACCCTTTAGTCCACAGGCTGATGCTCTATCCACTGAGCCAAACCAATTAGGGCAAAAGTCTATGATTTTTAATTAACACTGAAAAACTATCAGGGACAGGAATGACAGAGGACCGCTCCTAGGTTGGAGGGGACTAAACATGTGGTAGTGGGTGGGATCCTGGGGGTGGGGAGTGGGGAACATTGTCGACAGAATTCAAATGGGGTCTGTGGATTGAAACAGTATCGTTTGAATGGTGGCTTCATCTGCATGGTTGGGTGGAGAACTGTTATGTAGGAGTGTCTGCTTTTGGGAAATACACAGGGGAGTATCCGGGCTTCCTGTCATGTGTAGAGCATGCTCTCAAACAGCTCAGAAAAAGACTGGGGGAAATGGGCATCTCTATAATAATAAAGGGGTAATATGCTAATTGACCAGACATCTTCCAGACGTCCTTCCTGACGAAGCCTGGGCCTGGAGGAAGTGGGGGGGGGTGGGGTGGGGAGGGAAGCCCGGGTCCTGAGTACCGGAGAAAGGCGGGTGCCGGCGGAAAGGCCTTCTCTTGCACAAATTTTCGTCCACTGGGCCTCTAGCATGTGCATAAATGCGCGTGCACGCCCGCACACACTCACACAGTCTAACCTTGCTGTTTTCCACTCCACCTGTGTGCACCTGCCTACTTGCTGAGACCCGTAACTCCAGAATCAAGGCTTGCAGAGCTTCCTGGGCCGTTGGGCCGCGGCCAGGGTGCAGGAACCCTGCAGGCGGACGGGCGGGCACGGTCCCAGCGGAGGTGCCACAGGTGCCACTGCTTTGTTTCCGCTCCGATAGGTGAACGGGGGTCTGTCTGGCGGCGGGGTCCGTGGGGCGCTGCTGGCATTTCCGCGCTTCCGGTGGCGTCTGCTGTGTGGGACTGCCAAGCGGGCGCCCCGGAAGGCTGTGCGGGGGCACGGAGAAAAGACGGCGGCGGGGGAGCAAGTTCAGGCTGCCGCCGTTTTCAACCTTCCGACGGAAACACACGGAGCCGGCTCTCCGGGCCCGCAGACCAGCAGCGATGGCCCTTGCGGGGGACGTTGTGACGTATGACGCTGAGGCGACGCCCAGTGAGTGCGGCTGCCACGGCCACGTCCGGGCCCACGCCCCACAGTGGGGCCGGCGGTCGGCACCGACAGGCGGCTCGGGACCCGACTGGCCGTGGCGGTACCGCCGCAGTCTCTATGCACCTTTAACCATCCGCGTTCTTCCGGAAACAAGGGCTTTTCTCCTACTCGGACGGCCACGCTCCCCCGGCGGCGCCCGAGGACCTGAGGCCGACCCGGCACCCCAGCCTCGCTGACCCCGCGGGCCACTGCCCTGACAGCTGCGTACCTCGCTGCGGCCCTCCGCGCCGCCCGCCGGCGCCGTCCAGCGTGGTCCGTCCAGCGCGGTCCGTCCATCTGCGCGGGCGCCGAGGCCAACCGGCCACACGCGCTCGCGGCTGCTCTGGCCCGGACTCCGCTTTCCCGCGCCTGGCGGTGAGCCCAGTGCGCCTGCGCGGATCTGCGTCACGGTGACTGCGCAGCTCTGACTGCGCTTCGAGAAGCTGCGCGCCCGTTGGAGAAGGGAGGCGGGGCGTCGGGGAGTGGGCGGGCCGACGCGGTCGCGACCGGACGGGATTGGTCGGGCTTCCGACGACGTCTCGGGGCGCGCCCTGAACGGCGGGACGGGATTGGCCTCTCCGGAGGGGTCGTCAGCGGGGTGCTCGGGAACGCGGGCGTCCAGGCGGCTCTCTGACGCGTCAGCCGAGAATAAATGGAAGGGACTTTGGGGTGGCGCGATGCCGCTCTCTCTCCCGGGCTCGGGCGGACCGCGGTCCCTTCTCGGGCCCAGTTTTCCTTGTCCTTTCGGCCTTGGGCCGCGGAAGAGGACCACCCCGTTCCCCGGCTGCGCCACCTCCGGCTCGCCTCCGCGGCTGCGCCGGCCTTCGACGAGAGCCAGGTGCGGGGGCCGGGGGTCCAGGCTGGGGGGCGGGGGCGCCAGCGGCCGGGGGTCCAAGGGCTGGACCTGGGGGCTGGGGCTGGGGGCCGGGGGTCCAGGGCTGGGGGGCGGGGGCGCAGTGACCGGGGGTCCAGGGGCTGGGGCCGGGCGCGCAGGGGCCCGCAGCAGGGCTCCGGCTTTGTGGGACGGATCAGCGCGCTAATGCTCCAGCAGAGCTGCCCGGGTCAGGCTCTCACGTGCGGAGTCCAGGACCCGAGGTCGGGCTCTCGAGGTCGGAGCACCGCTGGGTTGACAGTGGAGGACGGTTGGGAACCGACCGTGCCGGGAGGGTTGCGGGAGCCCGGAAGAGCCGCGGCTCAGTGGCTTAGGTGCGGCGGTGAGGGTGGCAGCAGAGGCCCTTTGGAGGGAGCGACCCTGCACCGACGCGAGGGGGCAGCATAGGAGACGCTCCCCGGAGCGGAGGGCGCGGGAGGGACAGGCCGGAAGGCCGTCGGGGTTTGATCTCTGGGAGGGACAAGAGTTCTCACAGACCAGGCGGGGACCGGGTCCCGAGGGCGCCTTGGGAGGCGCAGTGGCTTCTCCAGTTGTCTCCGTTTTCCACGGTGAGTCAACAGCTTGCCGCCTCCCTGATGAACCCCAGATTGTCGTTAAGGAACAAGTTCGAAGTAAAACCCGATGCATAAGGGGGTGTCGGAGAGCAGTGAGGGAAGAGTTGAATCTCTTCGGGAAAGTCGTCACCTAGTGTGACTTAGCTCCTGGTAACAGAGGTTTGTTTATGTCCACAAGTGTATCCAGTGGAAGGAATTAATTGTGCCCTAAACGTCACCGGGGTGCAACTTCCACTGGCAGCTGCGTAGGTTGAAAATGGGAAGCCCTTGTCCACACGAGTCAAACTTTGATTTCGCTGAAATCCTGAGTTGGGGTGAGCTTCACAAGGCAGGAAAGGACTGAAAAACTGCATCTCAATGGGCTTGATTCCAAAGGAGCTGGTACTTGTGGTCCCCCCCCCCCCCCCCGTTTTTCTCTTTCTTGAAAGAAAAGAATTTGTGACGCTTTCGTCCCCGAAGGGGCCCGGGATGACGGGGACATTTATTAACGGTCCCTGCAGAGCATATTTGCCTGCTCTCTTTAGCTGCAAGTTACAAATCCTGGTGGCCAGCCCCAGCCGCCCTTGCTCTCCTCCTAACGGTTCTAATTCTCGTAGGTGCTGCTACACTCTGCCCTCTGTGTTCGGGACACTTTCTCCTGATGGAGTTCCCTGACTTGGGGAAGCATTGTGCAGAAAAGACCTGCAAGCAGCTAGGTAAGCACTTTTAAGAGATGTTAATAGGAAATGGGTATTTTGTTGGCTATTTTGTAGGGGAGAAATGGCCGCTACATTAGTTGCCAGGACCAAGTGGATAGAAGTGAGAAGTGTGCTGCTGAAATACTCGTGATGGACTCTCCTTTGAAAAGATAGCTTTATAGGTTCCTCAGTGTTGCTGACACTGTGAAGTTTGTGACCCCCCCCATTTTTTTTCTCATGAGGAGTACCTCAAAGATGTATTTGACAGTCAGTCATAAAGAACTTAGTGTAGGTGAATACCTGTTTACTATCCTATCCTATATAATTAAACCCTAATATGCAATCAACCAAACGGCAAATCGACCAGTCACTATGATGTGCACTGACCACCAGAGGGCAGACACTCAACACAGGAGCTGCCCCCTGGTGGTCAGTGCACTCCCACAGGGAGAGCACCACTCAGCCAGAAGCTGGGCTCATGGCTGGAGAGCGCAACAATGATGGCAGGAGCCTCTCCCGCCTCCACAGCACTAAGGAGCAGCCAGCCAAGCTGTAGGGAGCAGCTAGCAGGCGGGCGGTAAGGAGCGAGGGGTCCTGGACTGCAAGAGGTGCGGGCGGGGCTGAGGGACCCCCTGGTCCCACACAGTGTACAGATTTTGTGTACCGGGCCTCTAGTCCTATATAATAAAAGTCTAATATGCTAAGTGTTCAACCAGTCACTATGATACACACTGATGACCAGGGGGCAGACACTCCGACTGGTAGGTTAGCTTCCTGCTGGGGTCCTGTTGATTGGGACTAGGCGAGATGAGCTGGACACTCCCTGGAGCCCTCCTGTGGTCCCTCCCCAGCCCCAATCATGCACCAGTGGGGTCCTTTGGCCGAGCCTGTACCCTCTTGCAAGCCGGGACCCCTCAGGGGATGTCTGCAGGCCAGGCCAAGGGACTCCACTGGTGCACAAATCCATGCACTGGGCCTCTAGTCTCTCTATATATAAAAGGCTAAGTGTCTGTCCAACTGGTTGCTATGATGCGCACTGACCACCAGGGGACAGATGCTCAACGCAGGAGCTGCCATGACTCACACTGGCCATTTAAATATAATAAATGGCACCACGGAGCTGATGCCAACAAACCAACACTCAGCTTCCCCCAAGTAGAACACAGGCCCCACCACCACCCCGGGGCAACACCCCACCAAATCACAACGCTGCCAAGACCCCATGGCATAAAATGCTGCCCATAGTCCAGCCAGCCTGGAAGGGGGCGCTGTGGGTGCCGGGTAATGACGTCACATAGCAACGCCCAGCTTCCTCTCCCTAGCGACTAGCCTCCTTGCAGTTTCTTCCGCCCAGGAACACGACTTGCTTCATAGCCAGGTGCAGACATTTTACAATTTAACAAAATGTTTGTGAAGCGTTTTCCCGTGCCTCATCTCATTTGATCCTCACAGAAGTCCTGGAGTAGGCAGATAGGAGAGTCATTAGAATCCTATTTTCTTTTCATTAGCCGGAAAATGGAGATTTAGAAAGTTTAGAAACTTGACCCGACTGAACAGAAGAAATAAATGGTGGACCTTGACAATGATTTCAGGTTTTCTCACTGCACAGAATATAGTCAGACACGGCTGCAGTTAAATATTTTACCCTTGGTTCTCCCTGCGTGATCTACAATAGTAATCTGCTTTGCGTTGATGTTTACTGCTGTGTTGCTGACAATTACCTGAAAGAGAAGTTGGGGTGCTTCACTGGGCTGGAAAAAGTTTAGCTACATCAGAAAGCAGGTCTAATTAAGCATGTTTATATATACTAGAGACCTGGTCCATGAATTCGTCCAAGGGACCCCACTGGTGCACAATCAGGGCTGGGGAGGGATGCGGGAGGGCTCCAGGGCGTGTCTGGCCTGTCTCGCACAGTCCCAATCAGCTGGACCTCAGCAGCAAGCTAACCTACAGGCCGACTGCCTGCCCCCTGGTGGTCAGTGCACGTCATAGCGAGCAGTTGAGCAGCCTTAGCATATATCATTAGCATATTACCTGTCAACCCGACACTTAGCATATTAGGCTTTTATTATATAGAATAAAGCTCCCGCTGGCACCAATCATACACACGCTGGCACCAATCATACACATGGGTTTCGATCTGTCATTGTCGATCGTGAATCTGGTTGACACTCCTACTACACAGAAAGGGCGAATAGCAATATTAAAATATTTCTTCTAATTAATTTCCTTTCAATGTGCATGAACTCGTGCACCTGGACACTCGTTTAAAAATGAACGATGACTTGCACACGTGCGATGCATATAAGTTCTTGGAATGTATATTATTGAAATCCCCCGGTGAAATGATTTGTAACGGATCTATTATTGAAGCTACCTTTGGAAATAGTATATCTGTAGATAATAAAAATATATCTAAGCATGTGATTCTTTGTCCTAAAAATGAGCGTGTTCATAAATTAAATGAAGAAATTTTGGATATACTCGATGGAGATTTTCACACCTATTTGAGTGATGATTCCATCGATTCAATGGATGATGCCGAAAAGGAAAATTTTCCCATCGAATTTCTTAATAGTATTATTCCTTCGGGAATGCATGTCATAAGTTAAAATTGAAAGTAGACACACTCATCATGCTACTGAGAAATCTTAATAGTAAATGGGGTCTTTGTAATGGCACTAGATTTATTATCAAAAGGTTGCAACCTAACATAATCGAAGCTGAAGTATTAACAGGATCTGCAGAAGGAGAGGTTCTGATTCCAAGAATTGATTTGTCCCCATCTGACACTGGCCTCTCATTTAAATTAATTCGAAGACAGTTTCTCATGATGCCAGCATTTGCGATGACAATAAATCACAAGGACAAACTAGACAGACTAGGAATATTCCTACCTGAACCTGCTTTCACACATGGTCAGTTACATGTTGCTTTCTCTCGAGTTCGAAGAGTGTGTGACATTCAAGTTAAAGTTGTAAATACCTGATCACAAGGGAAATTAGTCAAGCACTCTGAAAGTGTTTTTACTCTTAATGTGGTATACAGGGAGATATTAGAATAAGTTTAATAAATTTATCAGTCATTGTTTTTATCAATATTTTTATATCATTTTTGTTTTTATATCATCTCTTTGTTATATAATGTTATTGTTTATTAATTTATATGTTATTTTCATATAAATTTACTAATTTTCTTTCATCTCTGACACTTCTATTATAGAGAAAGGGCGAATAGCGATATTAAAATATTTATTCTAATTAGTTTTCTATCAATGTGCACGAATCCGTGAACCAGACCACTAGCGATCTATAATTCTTTTGTTCTAGTCTTTAAAGCACTTTGCTGTTTAGTGTTTTTGTTTTTGTTTTAGATTTTCTTCCATTGAAATGTGATGTATGTGAGCAAGATTTCTGTAAAGATCATTTTACCTACGCTGCACATAAATGTCCCTTTGCATACAAGAAGGTAATTTATCATACTTTATTAGAAAGATTCTAGTCCTTACTCTTTAAAACTGTGCTGTCCAAGATAGACACCAGCCTCATGTAGCTAATAACTTGGTTAATGTCAGTCTCTCAGTCGCACTGGCCCCGGTCTGGGTGTTGAGTAATCACAGGACAGCGATTGCTGTGCTCTGTTGGGTGGTGTGGCCACGGAGCATCTCCGCCATCGCAGGACGTTCCGGGCAGCACAGCCCTCGATGGACTTCTGCTGGTGGCGCCCGGCCTGGAGGCACTGTTTCTGGGCGGCGCTGGGACTGCCTCGGGAGCTCTCTCGGCACTCTGCTGCTTTGTCATCGGGCAGCAGAAATGGGAATGACTTGGCGTCACATGCTTTGATCAGTGCTGGCTGGCGTCTGAGCCTCCAGCGTAGTCCAGGTCTCGAGGTGGGGGAGGTGACTCACACACTCATGTTTACAGGCACTGAGGACCAGGCCCGAGTACGCCCTTCATTTGTTGACTTGACCTCGCCTGTCCCTAGGGAGGGTCTGCCTTGGAGACCAGTGGTGATGCTTTATTTCTTAGACTTGCTGGCTGGGGAGCATTCCTGGGTGACTTTTCAGCTCCGCCCCAGACTGTAGGCCCCCGTGATTCTGGGATTACCTGCCACCTTCCGGGTGTCAGTTGTCACCTCAGTGTTCTCACTGAGCTAAGTTTCCTCAGCTCCTGCCCAGGCTCGGAGGTGGTTTTGACCGTGTGAGGCGTTCAGCTGCTGGGAGCTGTGTTCTCACGGGTTGTTAGGCACCTGGCTGCCTTTTATGCACTGCACCATCTTGCCTTTTTCTCATGTGAGTTTCAGTTGCCTGAATCTGGAATGTCATCTTATGCTCATTATTTTAGGATGTTCAGGTCCCAGTGTGCCCGCTTTGTAACCGCCCAATCCCCATAAAGAAGGGAGAGATACCGGATGTGGTGGTTGGTGAGCACATGGATCGAGATTGTGGATGCCGTCCTGGGAAGAAGGAGAAGGTGAGGACCGGTTCCCTGTCGCTCTGTGAGTGGGGTTTTCCTCAGGGGAACGGGCCAGTTATCACTCAGAATCCGTCCTGATAGTTTGTGTACAAACTGAAGCTCTAATAAAGTTGGTGTTGTGAGTGGCATAGGCTTTTAGTCAAATAAACACATTCTCTGAGTATTTGGGTCTATGTTAGGATTTGCTTTCTTTTTTTGTGTGTGAATCCTCACCTGAGGATATTCTTCCCCATTGATTTTTAGAGAGTGTGGAAGGGAGGAAGGGGGCGGGGGGAGGGAGAAACATTGATGTGAGAGGAACACATCGATTGGTTGCCTCCCACATGTGCCCGATGTCCTGAGATTGAACCTGCAACCCAGCTACGTGCTGTTGATCGAGAGTCAAACCTGTGATCCTTTGGTGAGCAGGCCGGTGCTCTGACCACTGAGCCACCGGCCAGCACAGATTTGCTTTCTTTGCGGGAACCTCACACTTTCTCCCACGGTGGAGAGTTAGTGTGGTTCTCGAGAGCCGGTCTGTGAGTGCCTCCTTCCCCCTACGCACCTCCCGGGGAAGCGCAGGAGGAGGAAGCGGAGAGGACCAGCGTGCTCGCTTGGCGGCCGAGCTGTGATCAGTGTGCTTGTGCCCCTGCGTATGGGGCGTGCAGCCGCGCCTCTCACCTCGCAGCCATGTGGTTCGTTTGGGGCACGGTGTTTTCCCCAGGTGCGCACACTGTTAGATCTCGGGTTTGGCGGGTCTACCCGTGGGTTTGGGCGTCACCTTTTACCACAGTGTGAGCTGAACATGGAGCTCCTGTCCCCATTCTGACTCCCACACGTTCTCGCCCCGTCCCCCATCCTCCCAGGAAACTGGCTCTTGTTTAGCTTAAATCTCAGTTTCAGTCATGGGTCCTTATGTGTAGTTACCAACTACCTTGACATGTCACATTAAATACACAGCAATTACAATTACAGTAAATAAACGTAAGGTCCGTTAACTTCTGCCTCCTGTTTCTCCTCGAACCCGAGAGAAGACCATCCCTGTGCCTTCCGGCCCTCGCCTCTCCCTGCTCTCACCGCACTGCACCCTCGGGAAGGTCTCCCAAAGCAAAGGCCCACTAAGCGGGGGGCTCCGCCCAGACTTTCCACCTGCGTCCTTCCCTCCGCCTCATGTGGGGGTGGCTCCATGTTCTTCAGGAGCTTTGCTCCCCTACCTGCTGCCGACATCGGGCCCAGCACCTGTGTCCCTGCTGTTTGCACGCGCTCAGGTCACTTGAGGCAGCTCACACCTGTCCTTGTAGAGGGCTGCCCCCGGCTGCTGGACACCCCTCTTCACTGTCATTCTTAACCTTCACAGACTCGGAACTGCCTGAGGCTGTAGATAGATGGTCCAGCTCCCTTCCCCTGGTGGGGACACTTCCATGTCTCCTGAGCCCCTGGAGCCAGCAGCCCTCTGAGGGACTGTGCATGATGTCACATGCTTGGCCTCCTTCCCTCCCATGTCCCCAGTCCCCACTCCCCCGGGTGTGTGTGTGTGTGTGTGTGTGTGTGTGTGTTTTCCTGAGAATACCTCTAATCACCCTACATGAATCCCCAACTAAACAGCTGCTTTTGTATTTATCACTTATTAAAACTTTGTCTCCTTAATTAGTAGTCATTGTTTTATAGTAAAACTAGAGGCCTGGTATACGAAATTTGTGCACTTAGAGGGGGGCGCCCCTCAGACCGGCCTGTGCCCTCTCGCAGTCTGGGAGCCCTCGGGGGATGTCCAACTGACATGGAGGCTGGAGAGGCTCCCGCCACCGCCACTGTGCTCACCAGCCGTGAGCCTGGCTTCTGGCTGAGCGGCGCTCCCTGTGGGAGCGCACTGACCACCTGGGGGCAGCTCCTGCGTTGAGTATCTACCCCCTGGTGGTCAGTGCACGTCATCGCGACCGGTCGATCCCCGTTCAGTCAATTTGCATATTAGCCTTTTATTATTTAGGATGTTTGAATAAAACCTTGACCTCTTCATTCCTAGTAACTAAAAACTGTTTCTAGTTAAATGTTAATGGTCTTACTCTGGGGCTTGTTAAAGAATTGCTTATGGACGCAATTGAAATACTGAAGTAACTGGCTTTCTCAGGTTTTTACCTTCCGGTGCTCGAAAAAGGGGTGTAAGAAGAAAGAGATGCTTCCAGTGGCTTGTGACCAGTGTCATGGCAACTTCTGTATTCAACACAGACATCCTCTGGATCATAGCTGCACACGCGGGAGCAGAGCCGTCAGCATCGGGGGGTGAGAAGTCCCAGCCCGGTGCTGGCCTGACGCCTCCCCTGACGAGGGTAGAGCCAGCTTCCCGCCCACGGAGGGCGACGAACAGCCTGGAGCCTTGTTCTCTGTCAAGTGGTGGATGCAGGAGTTTGCATGAATATGATCTTCATTAAAGTTGGATTCTAAATTAAAGTTGGAGTCTAGCTGTGTTGTTTCCTGGGGCGGCCGTAACAAAGAACCACTAACGGTGGCTCAAACAACAGGATTCCTCGTCTCAGTTCCAGTTCTGGAGGCTGAAGCTGAGATCAGGGTCTCGGGGCTGGTTCCCCTGGAGGTTCTGAGGGGGAGTCTGCCAGCCTCTCCCCTCGCTGCGTGGGCGCTGTCAGTCTTGGCGTCCTTGGCTTGTAGACATCAGCCCGTCTGTCCACGTTCACATGGTGCTCTCCCTGTGCCCAAGTCCCCTTCTTAAGAGCCCACCCACTCCCCTGTGACTCATCTTAACCAATGACGTCGCAGCGGCCCTGCATCCAGAAGAGGCCACGTTCTCATGCTCCGAGGGCTAGGACTCAGCCTGCCGTGTGGGGGACACACTGAGCCCACTCACTAGTGTGAGCCAGAGGACTTCGCTGGGTCAGTAGAAGCATCTGCCTGAACTTGCTGTGGAATAGAAATAGGAGTTCTTTTTTAGTTGCATTTGCTTGTTACACTCCCGTCTGTGGGCTCAGGGTTGACTCTGCCCTAAGTGCCTGTGGCTCCTTGGGAAGCTGAGAAGGAGTTGGCTGATTGTGGGTCTAACCTTTCCGTGCAGGTGTCCAGCTGCGAGAGCCTCTGAGTCCGAACCGTCGGGCCCTTTGAACACACTGCCACCCCGCTGGCTGGCTCAGCGACTCAGGCGTTAGTCCAGATGGCACGCGTGGGTCTAGTGGCTTTTGGGGGGCGGGGGGAGGGGGGCAGGGCCCCAGGTTACAGGTACAGCTGGTTCCCGAGCACCGTGGTCCAGCAGCGACATTTGAGGGTTTCTGCAGCACCATGTTGGGCCGACATGCTCTGCACCTTAGTTAACGGGGCACGGGTAAGAAGTAAGTCGTCGTTTGTTCTCTTTCAGGTCGAAAGCGAGGCAATGACGCCTGGGTCTGCGCCAGCTGCAGAGGCTTGTATCTGTGTCCCACCGCCCTTGGGAACGTGGGTGCTCGGGCACTTTCATACTCCTCACGGCAAAGGTCTGAAACGAAACTGCCCCAATGAATACATAAGTCCTTTCCGCAAATTAGCAATCTGAGGGCACTCCTACCCTAAGGTGGGTTACATTGCTCCACACCCTCCCTCCCTCCAAATAAAAGGAAGTGGCTTGAAGAGCAAGGGGCCGCGTGGGCCGGTCAGGGCGGCGCTGCCCGAGCTGTTTGTCAGGCCCGACTCTGAAGAAGCTTCACCACCTAAACAGCAGAGGTGGTCGCACTTTGGCTTCCTCGTGGGGCTTCGGTAGTGGTGTGGCCGTCAGCTCAGGAAAGGGGGCAGCCCCACCCACCACCCCACTCCCCTGAGAGTCTGTGACGGCACTGACCCCAAGCGGGACTGAGACTGGAACCTCAGTGCGTGGCAAGAGAGCTCTCTCCTGGGACCTGGAGTGTTAGGAAGCGGGGGACAGTGCTGTCCGAGTTAGCCCACTGGTCACCCAGCTGTGCACTCAGACACCCACCGGCCTGGGTTAGCAGATCCACGCAGTCACTCCTCTGGGCTCACAGCCCAGAAGGTGAGGAGGGGCTTGTATTCAGTCCGATGTACACGTGGGTGCTAGGGACTCTGTGCTCTTCTTGCGGGGTGTGTTCCAAATGCGTCAGAATCGCCCAGATGCGCTGTTAGAGCAGTGCAGGCCCCACCCCAAGTGTGATTCTGGGGGCCTGGGTGGACCCTGAGAATTTCCACGTCCAACAAGTTCCCGGGTGATGCTGCTGCATCGGAGCCGCTGTGGTCACAGTCCATACAGAGCACGTGGAAGGCGCCAGCGCAGCCGGCACTGAGCTCTGGCTCTGTTCACCGTTAGAGCCACTGGCTTGATCCAGTTAGGAAAGTTGTAAGTCTGTTGATAACTTGGGATGTGAACTGTACTTTCTGAACTGTAAGCCATGAAATCTGAATATAGATCAGGTCTTTCTCATGAAAATTTCTGCCCAAGTTGAGAATAAAACGCTGGTTTTGAAAGCAATACCAAAAATTTTCAAAGTAAAATATCTCACTTAAAAACAGCTACATGTTGAAATGTATTTTGGATATGATGGATTGAATGAAATATTAAAGCTTTTTCACTGGTTTCCGTTTTGTTTTTTAACTGGTTACCAACGAGACATTTTAGAAACAGGTGGTGGCTTGCATTCTGTCAGAAAATGCTGCTCCTGATCCTCACACTAAAGGAGAAAACCCACATCTTATCAGGAAGAATCGTCATCTGCCTCTGGTCTGCTTCTGCCTGCAGGTGGGATTGGGGTGTCAGTGTCGCGGGAGCTCCAAGCACCGTGTCCTCGTGCAGGTGGCTCCAAGGGTGTGCAAGGCCAGGAGAGCAGGAGCCCCTGCTCCCTGCCCCTCCGCAGCACTGAGCCCTCGCTCTGTTCCTTGCATCCACAAGTTCTTGTCACTCACAAGTACCAAGGCCCTGGTCTGCCTGCCTTCCCAGCCTGTCATGAGCATCCACGTGAGCTAAGGTGCCACTGAGTGGCTCTGGACAGGGCATGAGGTTGTATGGGGGGGGTGCCAAATGGGTAAGCCACATCGCACTGTACACTTCCACAGAGGGCCAGCATTCATATGCGTCAGAAGGTGGGGGAATCCCTTTAGTGTCAGGAGTCTGCGTGCATTGTTGAGTGAAGCCCGAGCAGTAGGTTGGTGCTCCATCTCTGCCCAGGGCAGGAAGCTATGTTTTTTTCCGGTGGAGTTGTAAAGCCCAGTGGGAGAAGTTTTTTTGTGTGTTGTTTTTTTAAAAATATATTGATTTGAGAGAGGGAGAGAGAGAAATATCAATGATGAGAGAGAATTATTGATTGGCTGCTTCCTGCATGTCCCCTGTAGGAGATGGAGCCGGCAACCCTGGATATGACCGGAATCAAACCCAGGACCCTCAGTCCACAGGCAACACTCTACCCACTGAGCCAAACCGGCTAGGGCCCCGTGGGAAATAGCTTTCCTTAGTCATAAAAAATGGGACACGTTCATACCTGTGGCCCAGAAATTCTGAGTATGTGCCTTGCAGAGACATCCCTGCACATTCCTGTCCAGCTGTCAACCCCCCCCCCCCCCCTTTGCAGTTCCCACCTCTGCAGTGGGCCACATAGCGATCTTCCTTTCCTCCCATTCTCAAAGTGTCTGGACTGTTAAATATTTCTAAAAACCGAACGAACGAACGAGGATTTAACTCAGGTATCTACAACCCAGATGTTTAGTTTTACCGGCTTCGATTCAGATGCTAATCTGAATTTACAACACTCTTGCAGATATGGCTCTACTGCATTTGAAAACATTCGCACACGTGTAATGTTGGTGACATTTAAACATTATACAGTTTAAATTACAGCATTTACAATTTATATACATTTATAATGTCTGAGACAAATCCCCGTGGACCACAACAGGCGTCGTTCATTCATTTAAGTCCAAGGGACCCAGCACCCGGCCGCTCCCCAGACCCAGAGCCGCCGAGCCCCAGGCCAGAAGCCGCGGAGCGGGGCCCAAACCCACCGCCGCACACGGGGAGGGAGGGGTTGCCTGGCAACTGGCGGCTCCCAGCGACTTGCGGCGTCCGGAGATGACGCTACCGGCCCGCGCCCAGCCCCGCCCCCTGGCGGCCGCCGCTCTCTATTGGTCGGCCGAGAGACAGAGGCGGGTCTCGTCCAATGGGCGGCGCCGCTCCGGAGGGCGGGACG